AAAGAAAGCGCACAAATTCATCGATTAACGAGTAAACACCTACCATAGAGTGCCAAGTAAGAAGTGTTTGACATAGTGCATTTTCGGGTGTTATTTCCATTGCTTTGTACACGTACTTCATCAATATGTCACCTTCATCGGGAGAAAGTTTCTAAACATATTAGAAATAAGGGAAATGAACCTTAGTTAATAAGATGGGTCAAGTATAGACACTTGCCTTTACAACAGGTTCTATTTCACTTGATTTGAAGGAACCTAAAACCTTGGCGACCAACATCGTGGCCCTGTCTTTGACAGCCTTAAAGATATTATAAAGCAAGCAATAGACAAATAGCAATTTAAAAGTCGTGAAAATCGAATTGAAATTAATGTTGAGTGAGCGTACCTGGTTTTTACATTTCAGCGGAGGATTCAGCAGTGCGGCACGCAGCGCATCTTCAAGGCGATTAGTTTGCAAATGAGAGGTCACTGTACGCTCATCAGGCCCAAGACCGGGAGTGTCTCCAGCTTAAACACATAAATCCTATCGTAAAAGCGTAAAAAAGGAAACATAAAGATAGGTCATGCAAAACCTTTCTGTGAGATTGTTATTTAAAAACCGTAATCTAACTCTCCTTCAGTGAAGGAAAAATTTTCGATTCAGTTCCTATTACATGATCTACTCTTAAAAGTGCAGGTTAAGAAGCTTACAGGTCATGAAGCAGATTTTCAGAGCCACTAGATGCACGTTCTTTTATGAAAAATCAAAAATCAGGTGATATTCCAAAGTAGGTCATTCGACTACAATACTACTATTGGAGACTTGTTTTCTGTGCTCATGAGGTTGCTAGGCGGAACATTAATTCATTGGTCTGACGTTTCGAAGTAATCCTCACCTTCAAAGCCCAAAATCAGTCTTCGAACGGAAAGGTCTAAGGAGTGTTAGCCAGATGAAACAAGGCAACAACGTAGCAGAGTTACACAACTGGCTAAAGTTCTTATGTGACGGCGCCTTCTCGATCAAACGGCGAGACCGTCTGCATTTGAAGACGAGTATTTAATAGAAAACTTCGACTGAGTAATTAAATGCTTCACGTAAGAGCTTCGTAAAGTACAGCAAAACAAACATCCAAAAAGTAAGTGAAGATCACAAGAAGATAGAAGGTGGAGAACTGTAATTTGTATTTTTAATGAGTCAATTCAAAAAAATGAATAGGACAAGGATGTTCGGCGCTTTTTTCAAGCAATATGAACCAACTCCGCTTCGGTATGCTCATAGAACCGAATTCAAGAGTCTATATTTCAAGTAAAAATAGTTTTGCAAAAACTAGCTCCTGATAATTTAAAAAAATAATCGAAAGTATTAATTCTTCCTAGGCATGCTCTGGAAACCTTAGAATACATAAGTGCATGTCTCTTTTTAGTGGTGAATAGTCCCTGAGATATCCTCTTCTATCTGATTACGGGAAAAATGTACGAAATGGATAAACGTACCAGGCACAAACCTATCTAGACGAACTTATATACCTTGGAGTTAGGTTGCTTATTTCGCTGCGTTGAACACGCAAGAAGTTGGGACCTAATCCAAGTGACAGAACCGAATATCGGCACAAAACGGGTATCACTATTTTCTATCGAAGAGCTACTTACTTGAGGGGAGGGTGAGAGGGTACTTTGGGACAATAGCTTTCGTGGCAACAACAAATAAAACTTTGCACAAGGAGTATCTGAAGCTAGGAAGCGAGAAGAAGCTTCAATTCTATGCCGTTCCTTCAGTTTTCTATGTTGTACGGGATTTGATATCAAATAGGAGGAAGCAATTGTTGACCAAGGGGATGAGGATTTTGGAGAAAGAAGTCCGGGATGGAGAGGAAAGCACCGGGTGAGCGAACAAACTTACCTGTGGAGAAAGGGGTTTTCACATCACTTAAAAAAGGGTTTAGGCAACCCGAAGCTCCTTCCCCCACTCCAGGCTTAGGTGAAAATTCCCAGCCTTCTGCCCAACGCAAGGTACTTCCTGGTGCATGTCCTCCACCCCTAAATAGACAGCACTCAAAACAATATATCCATCCAATCCATTTACCGCACCACTTTCAATCAATACCTCACTTTCTTATTATGATTTAAGTGAACCAAAACTCCAGTAACCCCCTCAAAATGGGAGTTAAACGAGGAGGTAACTGGTAATCCTTCATCTCTAGCTCAT